GGGACCTAGCCAAGTGGACTAGGCCCAGCATGGTTGCAATGTTTCACTACACTGATGATGTGTTACTAAACTCTGATTCTCTTGCAGATTTACCCCAGGCAGTTCCAATGCTGCTAAGTCATTTGGAACAATGTAGGTGGGCTGTGAACACAGCCAAAGTGCAAGGACCTGGGCTGTCAGTCAAATTCTTGGGAGTGGTCTGGTCAGGTAAGATGACAGTCATCCCAGAAACTATTATAGACAACAAGATACAGGCATACCCTTGCCCCACAACTGTAGCTCAGCTACAGACATATTTGGGACTTCTGGGGTATTGGATACCTTGTGTACCCCATATGGCCCAAACGGCACTCCCACTGTATGCATTAACAAAGAAAGGAGCCCCCTGGGATTGGACTGAGGAAGTAGAACAGGCTTACCAGGCTACAAAGAGGGCAATACAGCAAGTACAGGCTTTACAAGTGGCTGATCCTACTAAGCCTTTTGAATTAGATGTACATATAACCCAAGAGGGGTTAGGATGAGGTTTGTGGCAGAGACAAGACCGATTCTGAATACCTGGAGGATTCTGGTCTCAGCTCTGGAAGGGTGCTGAAGTGAGTTATTCTCTAACAGAAAAACACTTAGCAGCTGTGTATTATGTCTTGATGGCCACTGAAGCTATCACAGGAACTGCCAAAGTCCTAGTAAGGATGACACACCCCATACTAGGTTGGCTGAGCACATGGGCAACCAACCCTAAAACGGGTGTAGCTCAGACTCCACTCAGTTTTAATGGGGAGCATATATAGAACAAAGAAGCACTGTGTCAACAAGTCCTCTGTCCAAAGAGTTGCAAACTGTGCTAGGCCCAGTAGAGGTTGTGGAGGAAACTTTGACACAACCCTTACCCATGGAAGTGGAGGCTACACCTTTCCATGAGGGACAGGGACCTATCACAGAGCAAGCTTGGTATACAGATGGCTCTAGCATGGAACCCTCAGCCCTTAACAGATACTATGTGGTATGAAAATGGCACAGGGCAAAGCAGTCAATGGGCTGAACTGAGAGCAGTATGGATGGTGATAAAAAATGAGCCTGGGCCATTAACCATCTATACTGACAGCTGGGCTATGTACAAAGGTTTAACTCTTCGGATCTCTACTTGGAAATATCAGCAGTGGATGGTAGGCCACCAACCCCTGTGGGGACAAGCCATGTGGCAAGAGTTATGGGAACTGGGACATGAGAACGAAGTAACTCTTTTCCATGTCACAGGACACTTCCCCTTAGCCAGTCCAGGAAATGATGAAGCTGATGCCTTGGCTAAGGTAAGATGGCTGGAGAGAGCCCCAGCTGCTGATGTAGCCCAGTGGTTACATCAATGAATGCAGCATGCTGGCAGCAAAACCATGTGCATGGCAGCTCAAAGATGGGCCTTGCTTACAAAATGGGAAGATGTAGTGAATGCCTGTCATGCTTGTCCAGTATGTGCTCCAGAGAGTCCACACCCCTGGTGGGTGCCCCCTACAGATGGGCAAATAACTCGAGGAAGAGTGCCTCTGACTCGATGGCAAGTGGACTTTGTTGGATCACTGCCAAGGTCAGAGAATTCCACATACATCTTTGCTGCTGTTGATATGGCTACTGGTCTTCTGTTTGTGGGGCCTTGTAAGGCCACAGACCAGGTAAACACTGTGAAAGCACTGAATAGCCTTATGGCCATGTATGGCCAGCCTGTAGTCATAGAGAGTGATAATGGAACCCACTTTACAGGACATGAGGTTCAGAGTGGGCTTCCCAGTTGTCTATTCAATGGGAGTTACATATGCCATATCATCCCCAAGCAGTGGGAATGACTGAACGGTACAATAGTCTTTTAAAAAAGGGACTAAGAGGGCCGGCCTGTGGCTCACTTGGGAGAGTGTGGTGCTGATAACACCAAGGTCATGGGTTTGGATCCCTACATAGGGATGGCCGGTTTGCTCACTTGGGAGAGTATGGTGCTGACAACACCAAGCCAAGGGTTAAGATCCCCTTACTGGTCATCTTAAAAAAAAAAAAAAGGGACTAAGGCTATCTGCCAAACCCCCATCCCTGAAGAGGTGGACAGGGCGGTTATGGCCGACAGTCAGGATTCTAAATGAGACCCTGCAAGGGCAGGCCCTCTCCAGTGGAAGCTCTGTTGCATAGGGCTGCAGCACTTATACAACTGCAAGTCACTACTAAAGATAAGCTTTTGAAGCCAGGATATGGCAAGAATGGAAATATTCTCTTACCATCCCCAACCTGTTTACAACATGGACAGACAGTACAATGGGAATGGCTTTGGAGAATAGAAGCCCCCCATATTCACTGGGTAGGTCTAATAGGGCCTTGGGGGAAAGTATTAGAAGAAAACTTGCAAGTTTCACCTTGGGTGACAAGTACCTGGCCTCCTCAAGTAAAGGTAACATGGCCGGGAACAGATAAGTGCTCTATTCCAAAGGGCACATTTTTATTATCATTATGGCCAATTATGAGTTACCCTATACTGTTACATGTAGAACCTACAGATCCAACAGTGTTAGCAGATAAAGTATGGTATCATAAGCCAGGTAAGATACCTATTCCTGCAACCATCCTTTTTTTTTTTTTTTTAAAGATGACCGGTAAGGGGATCTTAACCCTTGACTTGGTGTTGTCAGCACCACGCTCACCCAGTGAGCAACTGGCCATCCCTATATGGGATCCGAACCCATGGCCTTGGTGTTATCAGCACCACACTCTCCCGAGTGAGCCACAGGCCGGCCCGTCCTGCAACCATCCTTTCTCAGGATGGCAAACTGGCATGTATCTTACCAGAGGGGTGAGAACTCCCCCTGTTGGTACCAATAACCCTTCTGTCTTTTTGCCTATAGTGTTCTGGCTGCGGGCAACAGTGTCGACTGAGTACATATATACGTTCGTGTGACCAATGTGATGGTTTACTGAATATGCACTGAACTGCCCATCAGTATGACTACAGGATTCAAACCAATGATGACTACTAACCGGACATGTACAGCTAATAGTTACAAGGACAGAACTACAAGCCTTAAGGCATAATGAATAAACAATAGGTTATAGAAATGTAGAGGTCATTTATCCTCGCTAAGGGAACATTGCGGAAGATTCTGAACATGTAGAATGTACGGTGAGGGACCCTGAAGGGGTGGATTGTTGGGAAAATATAGAGAAATGGTCAGGGCCCCTCAGATGTTCAGAATCTTGCCAAGCATCTAATGTAAATATTCACATGTGCCCAGGTGTTCCTTGTTTGTCTGATGTAGATGCACGTGGGCACCCAGGTGTTTTGGGTTATGGACTTAAGTATAAAGGACTAATGGTTCTGACACCCGGTGCTTCTTGGGACACTCTGGGAAGCCACTAGGGTGGCTGCTCCTAGCTCTGAATAAAGTCTATTAATTTTTCACCCACTGCTCCCAGGACTTTTTCCTATTACCTAGCTCGTAGACCTGAGTGTGGAGGGTTTGTCACCCAGTCTGTACAAGGGGCTCGAGGGGTCTGTGAGCCCTAGCTCTGCAAGCAGGATTCCAACAATTGCCTTAGCAATACACCATCCAATCCGCTGGGGCCCAGAGAGAACAAAATACAGAAAAAAGGTGAATCTCTCTATCTACTGGAGCTGGGATACACTCTTCTCTCTTGTCCCTGGACATTAGAACTTGAGACTTTTCAGCTTTGGGTTCCAGGACTTAGAACAAGGACACCATCGGCTACCCTGGTTTTGAGGCCTTTGTACTTAGACCACACTACCAGCATCTAGCTTGCAGATGGCCTGTCATGGGACTTCTCTTCACAATTGTGTGAGCCAATTCCCTAACAAATCCCCTCTCATATATATATAACATATCCTATTGATTCTGTCTCTCTGGAGAACTAATACACAAGGGGTCTTCAAAAAGTTCATGGAAAGATTCACATTATCTTTTAATTCTATTTTTCCATGAACTTTTTGAAGTACCCTCATATTGTCTATGGCTGCTTTTGAGGTACAATGGCAGAGTTAAGTAGTTACAACAAAGACCCTATGGCCCACAAGCCTAAAATATTTACAATCTAGCTCTTTTAAGAAAATGTTTGCCAACCTCTGGGCCAGCTTACATAATCTTCTTTAGGAGAGTAAGTCTTTCCTACCTTTGACTTACTTGCAGTGATCAGTCCAGAGGCTCAATATTTATAAAACAAAATTAGCAAACTATATCAGAACATATAGTTATATTTTATCTAAATTATTTCAAATAATTAATGGTAAACCCCATTCCTTATCCAGGCCAGATAACAGTAGACTCTGTCACCCAAATAAAAGCAGATCATAGTAAAACTGCTGCTTGAGAAACATACTTTTTCATTAAATCATTAAGTATAACTTTCCTTTTCAAAATGCCATCATTAAAAAATTGTATTTTAAAATAATAAAACAAAAAAAAACTTTTTAACTCCCAAATTACATCTTAAGAAACAAGGGACCCCTTTATACTTAATGGAATTCAGCTATATGGCCCCCCCTAACCTCTGCTTAAAAAGTTTCTTCCATAGTTTGCTACCAAATGATGATAATAAGAGGTATGTTACAGAGAAAAGAACACTGGACCTAGAACTAGAAGACCTCGGTCTTTCTAGCTTTGCAGTTATTAGTAACAAAACCATGGGCAAGACACTGAATCTCTCTGCCTGTTTCTCCACCTTTTGAATGGCAATAATAATGCTGATAGCCCACAATAATGTGTGAATATTATGAAAACTATGACCAATATAAATTCTTAACCAAAGGGCTATGAAAACAGAGGCCAATCTGCTATCTTGAATGTTAAAACACTGTATTAGGGAAAGTAGATTTAACATTCTATAAAGCAACTCACAATCCCACCTACTCAATTAATCTTACATCAGAGATATCCTAACAAGTAAGAAATGACCCAAGACAGATTTCTAAAATTCTGTTTTGTCCCATTTTCAGTTCCAGGGCTATCACTTGCCTGTTAAATGGAACATCTTGAAGGATCCGGTCACTGCACAGTGAAAGGAGGCAATTCTTCTGTAACTAAAGAATCAAAGGGAAAAAAAATCCTCAGTAAAATATCACTTTGTTATCTTTTAACCAGAGGTAGTCTATAAAAAAAAAAAAGAAGACTGATAACATCAGTTGCTTCTATTTATTTTTGTCAGCTGGTCAGTAAGGGGATCTGAACTCTTGACCTTGGTGTTAAAAACTGCTCTGAGCTAACACACCCGTTACTTCTTACCACCTCCACTCTGCCCACGTACTGTTGAAAGACTGATTCCCAGTGCACAAGTTTACTGACACATGTTTTGTCTTTTCCATTAGATGAGAAATAGGATACTAATAGGATAATTCCAACTAATCTCCCTCCCTTCTGGTGGCCAATGAAGTAAACTTGTCGTGTTTTTGATTTGAAGAGGATAACGAACAACAGCTAAAAGTTTTGTCTGGTGACATACCATCAAGGAATTTAAGCCAGCTTGCTTTGAAGACAGCCTGACTAACCTAGAGTACCTGGGACTAGCATTCTACACATTGGCCTCTAAATAGTGACTGACAGACTTGGCTCTATCTTTCAAATAAAACTTAGACTAGTACAATTAAGAGTAAATGAAAATATGAATCATTCATCCACATAGTAAAGGTATACCACAGAGAGGTGATTCAGGTTATTCCAGTAAGGCAAAATAAGAAATTTAAGGTATGGGTTTTAAAAAATGTCCTATTGCATACCACTAATTTTTTGAATTTGGAAAAATTGGCTTTTTAATATTTTTAAATACTTTCTGTGTGTAGTTGGAAGATCTCTTATCCAAATAAGACTTAATATAAGGGAGTTCAATCATAAAAGCAAAACTCAGATTAATGGGTTACATAAAGCTTGCAAGAAGTAGAAAAACAGATATAAAACCAACATCCTATTTGCTTCATGGAAGATGTACAGAGATTATATAATAGAAGGAATGGCACAGAAAGGACAAAGTAATACGAAGTCCCAGGCAGATATATGGAACAAATCAGGTACAAGTATAATTAATTAAGAGGGTTTCTCAGGAAGTTTTATATTCACCACAGATGGTTAAGGTAATCGAATGAATCTGCTTGAGGATCAAATTAACTCCCATAAAAGCTGAATAGCTTGCTGGCAGATGAGTGAGTGAGGGAGTACCTTACCCCCATACCGCTTTTCTCTTCATTTCTCTCCCTAAATGAACACAATAATTTTGTACAGAATCCATCAAAATAAGAGAGGCAATAATGCTATTCCAGTTACCTCTGTGTAGAAAGCCCGTTCTGCCTCCTTTACCTGGAACACTCCTAATTTTCCTTCACAATCCAGCTCAGGGAAGATATTACCTCTTTGAGGAAGCCTTCCTAATTTTCACATTGTTCTAAATGCCTCTCCTGGGCTCCCAATAGTACTTATTTCTACCTCAGTACTTGCCTCACTATGCTATTTTAGGTGCTCCTGTGTCTGGATGCAGAGAACTTAAGCACAGGTGCACACATTATGAATTCAATAAGGAGACACTAAGCTTAACGGAACTAATGGCTAAGTTGGTAACAGAAGGTAAGTTTCACTGGATCTGTTGCTTTACTGCCTCTGAAAAGCACCACATGCAAATAACGAAAAGATGAAAACTTTTGCTGTAATCTTCAAGTTCTGCCCAGCTAGAGTTTTGATTTTTGGTGCTAGAGCATTAACTATGCAAATATTCAAGAATTTTCTATGCTGACATTCACCAAATCTGGCCCCAATCTGGCCCCACTCTGGATATTACTGGCCTTATCCTACACTGCCCTTCCTACACTGGAGTCACAAGCAGCTGGCCCTTCCTGGAATGCCCTGCATGTTCACATATAGGTCCCACTGCTTTTCTGCTCTTCTCTGCTTTTCCCCCACGTGAAATCCTATCCATTTTAGGAGACGTGATGCAAATATCACCTCCTCTTTGAAGTCTTGCCCAGTACCTTTGTCTATACACCAATCCCACTGGCAGAATTAATCATTCTCAAGTTTCTGTGGTAATTAGTTCAAATAGCTGAAGAGAATTTACATAATAGCTAATAGTATATGCAACTTTTCAACTAATTGGTGAGTTTTAAGGACTTTTTTTTTGAGTCATTTCTTTTTTTGGTGGCTGGCTGTTACAGGGATTGAACCCCATACCTCGGCATTATTAGCACCATGCTCTAACCAACTGAGCCTATCAGTCAGCCTAATTGAGTCAATTTTAAATACTTTTACTAAATAAAAAATTTACAAAATGTATGTAGGCGAAAAAGCAGTGCTTCTCAAACTTTAATGTGTATACGAATCACCTGCGGATTCCTTATAAAATGATTCAGTAGGTTTGGGATAGGCTTGAGATTGTACATTACTAACTAGCTTTCAGGAGATGCCAACATAGCTGGTTAGCAGAACACACTTTGAGTAGAAAGAAATAACACGATGAATATCTATGTCCCTACCACCCCGTTTAAGAAAAAGAATATATCACTCATAGCACCATTAGCAAATCCTGTTTGCCCCCCCTATTCCCTCTCATTTCCCCTGAGAGAAATTAGCCTGAATTTTGGGTTTAACAGTCTCTTGCTTTTTAAACAATTTTTAAAATTTTATTTATTTATTTATTTTTTTATTATACATACATGTGGGGTACAATGTTGATTTGCAATAATTGTGTACAATGTGTGGTGGTTAGATCAGCATAGTTAGCTTATTCATCATTACAATATGCAATCATTCTTTGTGTCCCCTGACTAATTCCTCATTTGCCCCCGTCCCTCCCCACCTTGCTTTTTTTTTTTTTTTTTTTTTTTTTTCCTTTTTGTCTTTTTTCGTGACCGGCAACGGATCGCAACCCTCAGTGTCGCACCCGCACCGGACCGGGACCAGCAACGGGATCACAACCCTTGGTGTTGCGTCCGCACCTCGCTCAGCCAGCGAGCGGCCGGTCTGTATGTGGGATCCGAACCCTCGGTGCGAGCGCCGCTGCACTCCCAAGCTGTGCACTGTAGCAGTGCGCCACCGGGCCAGCCCTGCTTTTTTTTTTAAACACATATTTATATCCCTAAATAATGTACTGCATAGTTTTGCAAGTTTTTGAAATGTAAGTAAGTGGAATCACATGTATGTACTCTTCTGTGATTTTTTACACCCAATTTGTAACTGAGATTGATCTAGGTTGCAGTCTGGAGTTGTAATTCATTCAGCATTCACTGCTTTTAAATATTCTGTTGCATGACTAAACCCAGGCTCATGGACATTTGGTGTTTCTGATTTGTTATTACAAATAGTGTTATTGTGAACATTCTTTTTAAAATACATACAGCTTATTGAGATATAATTCACCTATTTAAAGCATACAATTCAATGGATTTTAGTGTATTTGCAGAATTGTGCAACCATCACATCAATTTTAGAACGTTTTCATCACCCCAAAAGGAGACTTCATACCCATTACAGTCAGTCCCCATTTCCTCCCACCTGCATTTCCTAATGTTGTTTATTTGCATCTTCTCTCATTTTTCGTTGAGCAATTTTGCTAGTGATTTTTCAATATTATTAAATATGTTCAAAGAATTAATTCTTGGCATTATTGATCCTCTCTAATCCAATGGTACATTTGTTTTTTATTTCATTTGTACTTTCACCTTTATTATTTTCTTCCTTCTACTTTCTTTGGGCTTGTTCTCTTGTTTCCCTAACATAGGCACATTTATTTATAGCTCCCTTTTACTAAGGGTGTATTCCTTTGAGGAGAAGGTTATAGCTTTATGCTAGGAGTCTGTCTTCTACTATCTACCCGGCTTCCTGAGACCATAAAAACCAAAGCCTAAATTTGATCTAGTTTGGCAAATGCCCTCAATGAGGGAAGCTGGCTATAATAATCCACTCACCAATTTAGGTTGCCATTTTTACTTAGTTTTGGTTTTGGGCCTCTCGGTATTTTTTACTAACTTGCCAACTCACTGCTCAATTTCAAAAGACTTAAAAAATAATTCATGCAGCATTTTTATTATTCATCCTGAGGACAGGACAGGTTATATGGTCTACCAAACTGCCAGACATGTCTTATTCATTTTTGTATCCCAGCATTTGATAGTGCTTATCCCAAAACAGATCCTCTGTGCCTGTTTGCTGAAATTATCCATAAACTCAAGATCTAGGTGGCAGATGAGTTTTGTAGGGCTTGCACTATTTCCCCAACATATGGATTTAAATCTTCTTAGCAAGGGAAGGTACTCTTTTATTGTTCACTTCTCTGATGTCCTACACTCAGTTATACCACAAATTTATTACTGTATAGCCTCCAAAAATATTTGAATTTCCAGACTTGGTCTATTTCATTGAACTGTATGGAGGCAGAAGATGGATAGAAGGAGACACTAAAAGGACTATTTGAATGGAAATTCACATATGCTCACTCACCTGCTGGTGATTGGGAAAATGTTCCATGGCTTTGAGCAGCAAATGGGTCACATCAGCCAGGAGTCGAACAGGCATTCCTGCAGCAAGATCCTGCTTGGTTAAGTTAAATACACAGGCGCTTGCAGCCAGTTGCACTGGCAAATTCATAGGGTGGTTTCTCATCCCAGTAACCACAAGCTGGAAAAAAATTAGTCCTCTTAATTCACCTTATAAATATAAGCCCTCCAAAAAGAGCAACATTACTTTGTTGATCTATAATAATCTCAAAGATGTCTTAAGTATCTTTTTCATCATCATGTGCAAAGACCCTAGGACATAACAATTATTCATAAATAGTTCCTGCCCACCTGGCTGAGGCAGGTAGTCTGGTTGTTCATATCTAGAGATTCTTCTGTCTGATTCTTCTGCTAATGAATCTTTTCTACACAGGCAATTCGTTTTTGTATTTCCAAGACCTATTATGGTGACTGTTATATGGAAGTCAGTAAATAAACTCTCACTGACTTGCATAGACTAAACCAGCAGCAAACTTCATTCTCAAATCCCAACATTTAGTTCCTTGAAGACACTGCTGAAGTCAAAGTGCAATAAAATCCATTCACTTCACCCTGGCCTAGACAACAATTGCTCACCATTTCCTCTCTCCTCCAACCCCCAACAAATCCTCCCCATTCCTCACTATCAGCTAAAGACATTGTTTCCAACTACACTAAGAAAACTAAAGCAACCAGAAAAGAACTTCAGATTCTCACTACCCCCTTACCAGCATACATATATACATATGCCACCTTCCTGATTTTTGGGCTCCTCCCTAAAGTAAATCCCTCCTTTTATATGATAGATAGTTCCCTTCTTGTGTGCTCAGGACATCATTTCAGCTATTTTCCCTTCTCATTCCTACATCAGTTTCTTATTCTGTGTTGGATCACTCATATGAGCATACAAACAACTATTATTTCTCCTATCTTAAAAAACAAAACAAGGCTTCTGGTCAAGATGGTGGACTAGACGGTCCCAAGCGTCACTCTCTCCCACAAATCAACAAATTTACAACTATGAAAACGCAACAACAGCCAAACTGGGGCCTCTAGAGCTCAGGGGAAGAGAAGGAGAGACCTACGGAATGCATGAAGGCAGGCAAAACCACGATGAGAGAAAGAAAGGACCACTTCTACCATTTCGAATCCCAGCTGCTTCAAGGCTGGATCTGGTGAGCACATGGAGCAAGAGCTGGTAAAAGCTGCTACTATGCCCTTCCTATGATGTTGCTTGGAGGCGGCAGAGGAGTAGAGGGCCTTGGTGGCCCTCAGGCCAGCAAGACCACTAACAGTGTTCCCTTGAACCCACCTAGGAGCAAGGAGCCACAACAACTGAAAAAAGGAGCCGCTCAGAGGCTGGTGAGTCATCACAAGGACTGAAGCACGGCCCATCCCATGGGAAGTGTTTGGAGTGCAGGCGGTGGGGGAGACGGGCCCACCGGGGAAACACTGAGGCATAGCAAGGACAGCTGATCTGCCCCCCAATCAGTGCAGGCCCACTCAGTGGAGACTGGTCAGGAATACAGAACTGCAGGGTGAGCAGTTTGCGGGAAAAAGACACAGGCCCATACCAAAATTTCTATATAACCCAGGTATACTGGACCTCACGAGACCTGGGAGTACCTACAAAGTCAACCATTAAAACCTGAGCTGCACAAAAAGCCTTCCCCAGGGAATCAGCAGCAAAGTAGCAATTTAGCTCAACCACAGGGTTCAAGTGCTGCTCCCCACAGGAAGTTTCCCCATTTTAGAAGTCACCAAAGGACAACAGATTAGTTTCAGTTCAGAGTTTAAGTGGTGGGAACAGAGGATAATCCAACACAGAACTAAAAGAAAAAACAAAATACCCCAAAAAGCCTTCCCCAGGGAATCAGCAGCAAAGTAGCAATTTAGCTCAACCACAGGGTTCAAGTGCTGCTCCCCACAGGAAGTTTCCCCATTTTAGAAGTAACCAAAGGACAACAGATTAGTTTCAGTGCAGAGTTTAAGTGGTGGGAACAGAGGATAATCCAACACAGAACTAAAAGAAAAAACAAAATACCCGCAGACCAGAGACAAAGTTTGATATTAACTAGTGTGTTATAGTTAGAAAGAACTATACAAAGAACACCTATAAAACTTAGAAGGACCGGAAGCCCCCTGTGCACCCAAGCCAGGGAGCAGGGAGGGTCAGGGGCCTCAGCCAATGCCCTCCTGACACCTGCAACCAGGCCAGTGATGAACACCAAGCTGCCGCAGGAAGCGCCCCAGGCTCCCGAGCTAAGGAAGTGTGGGGCTGAGGGCTTCAGCCACACCCCCCGACATCTGCATTCAGCCCAGCAACAACCAAGTCACCACCAGAAGCCCCCTGGTCTCCCCTGCAGGAATGAGGGGGGTGCCACAGGCCTCAATCACACCCCCTCTCCTTCATTCTTCTTGCACCCTATTTCCTTCCCTCTTTCCCTCTCCCCCTCCCACCCAACTGATCCACAACAACATCTTAGAATGTAAAAACAGATGGAGCCAGGGACCAACCCCTCCTCCCACAACCAGGCACACTGCCACTGCCATGGGGCCAGCCCAGGGTCCTGAGGCATGGAACCAAGGACTGACCCCTCCTCCTGTAACCAAGCACACTGCCACTGCCATGGGGCCCACCTGGGGTCCTGCGGCAAGGATCTGGGGACCAACCCCTCCTCCCGCAACCAGGCACGCTGCTGCCACCACAGGGCTCACCCAGGGTCCTGAGGCATGGATCTGCGGACCAACCTCTCCTCCTGCAACCATGCAAGGAGCATGCCAAAAACACCAATTACATGTGGGTGGCCCACCACATCCACAACAATAGCCATAGCTGCTGCAAAAGCAGCTAGACGCCACAACCACCATGTAGATGGCCAACCAGCCACTCAAGCACATTGATGTAAGGGGAGTCACCAGCAGAGACCAAAGAAAAGAAGAGGATGACTCTCTCCACAAAGACCATTCCAGCATGACGGAAGAAGAATCTACTCTATGATAATAGTAAGGGACCTGAACATACATCTCAGCATTGGACAGATCATCTAGGCAACAAATCAACAGAGTAACCATTACTCTAAGGAGAGAAGAAATCTAGTGTTATTAGAGGTGGGAGGGGGGACGGAGAGGGGGATGGGGAGAGATTAGATAAGGGGCATAAAGAATAAGTACAGTCTGTAATAATGTATATGCTAATGATATTGATTTGATCAACATACGTCACCTTCAAACCCCCAAAATATGTATAATCAATTATGATTCAATTAAAAAAAAAGTATCTTCTAATACCACTTCCTCAGTGGTATTATTTTTGCTTCCCTTTGCAGTATAATTCCTTACAGGAATTGCCTATATTCTTTAATTTCTCTCTGAATAAATGAATGAATGAAGATCAGGACTAGAGATCTGGTCTTTTGTTGTTCAGGTTCACAGTAACCAAAATCAAAAAAGAAAATGTATATACCAAATGCCAATATCTGGTATATATGAAGGTATATATGAAGGGAGTGACAGATGTTGGGCATAATATCCTAGGAACTAAAATGTTACTGGTTCCTATCCAAGCACCCCATTCTCAAAATTTAAGATATCTAGGGGGTCCAACCAATTCTGGCTCTATCACTGACTTACTGTTACTTAACCTCACAGACCCTCAGTTTCACAGTCTGTAAAACAGAAGATAAAACCTATCTCTTGGAATTTTTGTGCCCACTAAATGAGGTACCAAATATAATATAATCCTATACTCACTGGTTTTCAAAACTGAATGTGCATAAGCATTATCTTGGAGGCTTACTAAAATACAGATTCCTGTGCCTAATCTAGCCCAACTGAATCTAATAAGCAGAAATAAGCTTTTAAAAATAAATAATATGCCAGACTTCTAATGGTCAAAGGACCACATTTTGATAAACATTGCCCTAAGCGATCAATAAAATTAAGAATCTCCTTTCTTGTCCTTCAAAGGCTGTCTTGGTTAAAATATCTTAATCAGGGAATAATGTGAATCAGTTACAAAAGCACAGGAGGTTCATAAATGGCATGGAAAATTGCCTTATAGAATTCCAATATTGTATTTCTTTTATTTTTTTTTGGAAGCTGGCTGGTATAAGAATCAAACCCTGGACCTTGGGGTTATCAGAACCAACTGAGCTAACCAGCAAGCCTCCAATACTGTATTTCTAAAAAGACCCTTTATGGGAAGCAGTATAAGATTAACATACAATACAGTATCCTGATCCTAGTCATATACTTGCATTTTCTACTGTAGCTGGTGATAAAACATCATGGTGGTAGCTGGTTTTAGGCAATAAAATATGCACTGGAAGGCATTTATATTGCTTAAGGAGACTACTATAAAACTTCAATAACACTATGCAACTATCTCCTCTCTCATTTATGGCTAATAACTGAAATCACATATCATGAATCCCATTACAAATAAAAATCAATGACTAAATGCAGTTTTCACCAATTTTCTCCACAAAATCATCATCTAACCGAGAGAATTTCAAAATTTCATATCCAGTTCCTTATTCTTACCTTTAAAATTTCTGGTTTTGTTTTTTCCATCACATGAGTCAGGCTAAAAAGATGAAATAGAGCTTCCCGGACAAAGAATGCCCGTTCACTGTACCGCTTCAATGCTTCTGCAATCTGAGTTTCATTGGCTTCTCCAGACACCTTTGAATGCAGCCAAAAGATTACCTTTTAGAATTCTTTTCAACACTCTTTCTCTGTCTAAACATCAGTTGTATATATGGCATCCAGGACAGGTATGTAAGGCTTGAAACAAATGGGAATGATTACTTTCCAACTCATCCAGAATAGTCACCCTAAAGAGGTATATTCATCCTGAAGAGATGTATATTAGATAGGCTTAGAAACAAACACTTTCTCAGCAAAAAGCCATTACATATAATGTCCTCTCTGACTGAACCCTCTCTGTCTGACTAATTTCTACTCACCCTTGCTAATACAATTTAAATGACATTTCTTTAGAGAGGCTTTCCCTGACCCACTGATTTAAATCAGGTCCCCATGAAACATCTCTTTTGTAACCATTATCATAATCACCTACGAGGACTAATCCATTCACCACCGTGCCCCAACTGCTAGCATTATGAGAACCTTCAAAAAGCTCATAGAAAGGTATTATTATTATTATTATTATTTGTTATTTTTTTGGTGGCTGGCCAGTATAGGGAACTGAACCCATGACCTTGGGGTTATAATGCTGTAATCTAACCAATGGAGCTAATCGGCCAGCCCTGGTATTATCTTTTAATTCCATTTTTCCACAAACTTTTTGAAGTCCCTTTACATGCTTGGCTCAGAATAAGCACTCAGTAAGTATTCATCAAATAAATATATTGATTAATTTGCCCAGGTTTATCAAACTCCCATGCAGCATCAAGAGGTTCTGTTCAAAATTAAATCTATCTAGGAATTTCCCATTTACACAGGTTAATATACTTATCTTAAAATATACAGATATCAAACCCTGGACCTTGGAGTTATCAGCACCATGCTCCAACTGAGCTAACCAGCTAACCTCAAACTATTTTGTATAATATATAAACATACAAATTGATTTTGACTACATATTCACATAATCAGTTATTGAATAATAAGATTTTTCAAACTGTTCAGATCTTTTGTTTTGTTTTGTGGCAGCTGGCTGGTATGGGGATCCAAACCTTTAACCTTGGTGTTACAAGGCTGCACTCTAACTAACAGAGCTAATTAGCAAGCCTAAACCACTTAGTTCTTTTGGAATCATGCTGAGCTTTTTCTTACAGATTCAGAAAGACATCAAAATGTGAAACGAAAAAGATGTAAGAGGGAAAACATATAATAATAATCTCAGTCAGACTTGATTTACCCATATTTGGTTGGTTCCAACTTTACAAATCTCTTCTATGAAATACAGTCTCATGTTATCTTTGAATATAAAATTAAAGAACTTTTGTTACCAGAATGTTAAATACTTTAAGTCAATTTCACTGCCTGTATGTTTTATTCAACACTTCTTTAGCCTGTGATAAACCCTCAAATCAAGCAATTTGGTTCCTCAAACTATAAACATCCTCAATTCAATCAATTTCATATACTAGATTGAAAAAATAAGTGTTAATATGTACTAGTTTTTGCAAACAGTTTAAAATAGAGAAACTGTCTTTAACCATTAAATTAAGCCTATTAATAATATATAGTATGGATTAAAACTACAATTTATAGGGGCTGGCCCGTGGCTCACTTGGATCCCTTGCCTTTATGATTATAGATATCATTCTTTGTGGACATCAGGCTTAGCTTAATCTAGAAAATGTCACAGAAAATAAGTACAAATTTTATATATCTTTTTGGCTTTATATTCATCATCAGGTATTGTAGAGCACAAAAATCAATAGTTCTTTCCATATTGAAGGCTATATACCAGGGCTGGCCCGTGGCTCACTTGGAAGTGTGGTGCTGATAACACCAAGGCCACGGGTTCGGATCCCATATAGGGATGGCTGGTTGGCTCACTTGGGTGAGCGTGGTGCTGACAACACCAAGTCAATGGTTAAGATCCCCTTACCGGCCATCTTTTTAAAAAAACAAAAAAAAAACTATGATTTATATCTAAGGACAAACTGTCATAGCACTCTGTACATAACTCTACAGCATCTCTCACACTAGATTAAAGCTATTTTTAAATTTGTCTGTCTCTCTTCCACTACACTAGAATACCTCAAGAGCAGATATACGAATTCAGACATCTTTAGAAAGTACTTAGTAAAAATTTTTTTTAAACGAACCAACTCCTCTGGCTCAAAACCCTTTTACGTATCTTCACTGCATGTTGATTACTGTAGTTCAATATAGGAGCCTGAGTTCAAGGGCAAGGTCTAAGGTAAAGATAAAAATTTAGAAGTCATCAGCACATAAGTTTAAGGACTGAGGTACAGAACACTTCAACATTTAGAGGCTTGGAAGATGAGGAAGAACCAATAAAGAAAATTAAGACTAAGTAGCAAGACAAGTAGGAAAAAAATAAAAAAGACAACTGTGATATCCTGGAAGCTAAGTTAAAAAAAGAAAAAAAAGGTATTTCAAGGAGAAAGGCAAGATCAACTATGTCAAATATCACTTTAGGTCAAATAAGATGAAGACTGAGAACTAACATTGGGTCTAGCAGATTTCTAGTGTTCTCAGGAGCTGGGAGCCACAGCTTAGTAGGTAACCTAAGTCTGGGAATGAGGTGGCCAACAAACATAAGAATTCTAGTTGTGGAGAAGTATAAAGTTCAGGAAACTGATGGTGACAGAAGAGAAATTGGGTGGGGAAATAGCAATGATAGAGTTGGAAATTCTATAATAAACTATCTGTGGTGGGACTAGAAACTGAGAGGAAAGGGCAGAACTAAGATACTCAAATAGAGGCAGTGAAGTGCAGTGGAAAGGAAACAGGCTTTGGTATCAAATAGATCAAGGGTACAAGGGCAGGCTCTGTACAAGCTGGTTGACTCTTAAGAAAGCCATTTCCTCTTGCTGAGGACAATACTTCCCTCACAGAGCCAAAGGACCAAAATAAACAATACATATGGAAGCGCAATAAACAAATTATTTGTTCTTATAACCACCTACTCAGAGTACCAATAAGTACTGGAGAGTTAAACTGATTCCATTTCTTGCATCCTTTAGCATCAACAAAAAAACTGAGGCACATGAAGCCAAAAAGCCCATCGAAACTAATCTAAAGCAACACAATACTGAAATAATCATTTCAGACAAGGTTTTCAACAATTTTGTTAAATTGGACAATTGCAAAAAAGGAGACATGGCAATTTTAGCTCTCCTCCATTAAAATGATATATCATTTTTCAGCTCTCAAGTTGGTAGTCAAACTATTTATTTATTTATTTATTTATTTATTTATTTATTTAATTTAGCCCTGCCCCCCCCCCCCAAACAAATAATTTAAAAGGAACATGAATTTCTGTTCATTGGGGGCTGGCTGGTTATCTCAGTTATTTATTTATTTATTTATTTATTTATTTATTTATTTATTTATTTATTTATTTATTTTGTCTTTTTTCCGTGTCCGGCAACGGATCGCAACCCTCAGTGTCGCCCCCGTACCGGACAGCGACCGGCAACGGGATCGCAACCCTCGGTGTTGCCCCCGCGCCTCGCTCAGCCAGTGAGCGGGAACCGGTCTGTACGTGGGATCCGAACCCTTGACGGGAGCGCTGCCGCGCTTCCCAAGCGGCGCACTAGCGCAGTGCGCCTCCAGGCCGGCCCTAGACCATGGTACTGTAATAGCAAGGTGAAGGGTTGAGATCCCCATACCAGCCAGCTGCCAAAAAAAACCCCCAAAACAACTACAACAACAAAATTTCTGTTCATCTCTGAATGAAAGGCAAAGTTCTAATGATCTCTATTTTAAAAAAATTATTTTAAAACAATGATTCTCGGGCCGGCCCGGTGGCGCACTGGAGAGTGTGCTGCTTGGGAGCGCGGCGGCGCTCCCGCTGAGGGTTCGGATCCCATGTGGAGACCAGTTCCCGCTCACTGGCTGAGCACGGTGCGGGCGCAACACCGAGGGTTGTGATCCCGTTACCGGTCAGTAAAAAAGGACAAAAAGGAAAAAAAAAAAAAAACAGTGATTCTCAACTTTGGTTGGACATTGCAATCACCTAAGGAGCTCTAAAAAATACTGATGCCTGAGTCCCACCTCTCTTCCTACTATACGGGCCCTTGTACATATTATTCTCTCCACCTGTAATGCTGTCTACCAAGCCACTGACCCTTAAGATCTCCACTCATTCATCATTCCCTGAGAGAAACCTTAAACTAAGTCAGGTCTTTCTGTTAAACACTCTCATCTGTAGTACTGTGTATCTTCTAGATTCTCAGTCTATACAGTTTAAAGCACACACACACACACACACAAGTACAAGAGTACTTCAAAAAGTTCATGGAAGGATTCGTAATATCTTTCAATTCTATTTTTCAATGAACTTTTTGAAGTACCCTCATATATATAAATATATTAATATATGTGATCATATCATCACCACTCCCACCAGACTAAGCTCCTTGGAGTCAGATCCTGTATCTTCTTCATCTCTGAATCCCAAGCTGTACCAAGTCCAACTGATGTTTGTTAAACTAAATTTAAACCATTAGGTATAAGAAACATTAAGAAAAGCAAAATTTTATCATGTCTACAGTAGAGATCTCCTCATAGAACTTAATCTCCCATCCATTAGGCATTCAATTCAACAAAGGGGTATCCCTAGTTTCCCTGAAGTAATCCATTAGAAATGGTATGTTAAAATAGTTCAAAATATCTATACATTATCATCATAACAAGACTTATTATTATTTATCCAGGACCTACTACATGATTTGCATTTTACATATATAATTATTAATCTTCAGAAGAATTCTGTAAGGTAGAAATGATAACTATTTTACAAATAAGGAAATGGAAACTTAAAGAAGTTACATCACAGCATGCTCTGGATCATGAAGCAAGTAAGATGGGATTTTAATTAGGACTCTGACTCTAAAGCAAGACTTTCCACTATACAATGCCCTGCTTCACGAATGCGTTTCATTTGTTATTATATATTCATCTTTTTTTTTTTTCCTTTTTGTCTTTTTTTTACTGACCAGCAACGGGATCGCAACCCTCGGTGTTGCGCCCGCACCGCGCTCAGCCAGTGAGCGGGAACCGGTCTCCACATGGGATCCGAACCCTCGGAGGGAGTGCCGCCGCGCTCCCAAGCGTCGCACTCTCCAGTGCGCCACCGGGCCGGCCCTATATATTCATCTTAACAGAGACTTATAATACTCAGACATTGGTCAGCCTGACAAAATAACACATTTAAAAAGTCTAACCTTCAAATATCCTTCGCCTGTGAGGAATTCAGAGTAACCAGCATCAGTAGCCAGCAAACCTACAAACTGCATGCTGGGCCGTTGTTGTATAAAGGCTTCAACAGCTTTATCTGTCACATGCTTTCTTCCAGAAACATCCAGGGAGACAAGATTGGGTAGGATGTCCTTTTGTTCTAATAAGCGAAGAGCTATGTCTGATGTAAACTGTTTATCATCTGAGATATCAAGATGATTCAGATATTTTAGTTCCCGAACAACATCCAGTATCTGAGTAGTTGTCATTTTTAAACATTTCAAGTGGTGCATGGTTAGAGACTTGAGTCGATCTTTGCAGGCCAGCAGAGCAGTGATGTCTGTGATTGAGGTGTTAGAAATATCGAGGCTCTCTAATCTTGGCAAAGAGGCAACTTCAGCCAGGTCTTCATTGTAAAAGAGAACATTGGTGATGCTTAAAGCTCTAAGGCCAGAAAGCCTGCTGAAGCACCGCTCATAAGGATCCTCGAGGGAGAGAGTTAATGAGTTCAGCACTAGGCACTGGAGATTTTGCTGGATCCATTTGTTACTGCCAAGCCCACTAATAATGTCTGTAATCGTGATGTCAGCATTCACACCTGTGGCATCAAGTTCCACTAACTTGTGGTGGCAGAAGGCTTTCCGGAAAGCAACAGCAGAGATCTTTGCTTTGCGAATGCAAGCACGCTTTAAGCGCATCTGGTTGCCCCTAAAAATACCCACAGTTCCATCATTTAGTAGACCTGGAGAAAAACAAACAGTACTTTAACTTAAAAAAAAAACAGTAGAGAAAAATAGCTAAAATTTCCATATCAAACTTCATATTTCCAAAGCATTCTCATGTAACAGTCACTCATTTGATAATCACAGCAATTCAGTGAGGTGAGGATATTATTATCCACAATTTATAGATGAGTAAACTGGGGCTCAGAAAGTAGCTTTCCAAGATCACAGAGCTAGTAAGCGGCAGAATCAGGACGGTGGTAAACATTACTGATATCCACTAATACCTGGTTCTCCTCAACTTATTAGACACATAGAAAGCTACATCTCCCAGTACTTCCCGGAGTTAGATGGGGCCATGTGCCTAGTTCTGGCCAATGGGCTGTAGGCTAAAGTACGTAAGAGCCAGCACATGATTTTTCCATACTATCTTCTGTTATAATAAACAAGGAGGCTTCAAGTTCTAGGGAGTACAGCTTTATGAGGGTGCAGCCTCCTTGAGTCTGGATCCTAGGGTGACCATGGAGCAGAACCCTCTATGGACTTGCAGAATTTATATACCATGAGTGAGGTATAAACGTTGTGTTAAGCTATTTAATTTGTTACCAATGCATTTCTAGCCTATCCTTTAAATTCATTATAATACATTATTATACATACAAATACATATACACATAATATATTTAGCACATATATAATGCCTATAATTCATTATTAAGCCACTAGCCAGATTTGAAGTCTCAGTAAAAGGATCTAGCAGTTATAGTCCCTCCCTGTCAGATGAATGCAAATAAAGTAGATACAGTAACTACTTGAAGTCCCTTAGAGATCTACCTGTCTACCAACCAATAGTGCCACAAGTACATGATACTTTGGAGCCACATCTCAGCAATATCACCCATAATCTAATCAGCATTTACTGTGAAAGAAGTAACAGTTCCGCCAATAATAGGAAGTCTAAGAACAGTATGGGGTGAACGAGCAGTTGGGGCCAGGTAAATAAACAGCCTGAAGTCAAGAGACTCTAAGTGGTACCTTAGCTGGCCCACACTAAAGATGTAGATCAGGCTGCCAACCAGCCACCCTTAAATTAGAAATAAAGTGTTTTTCAAAGGGAGCACTATTCCTAATGGAGCTTGCAGACTTAATTATCATTAAACAGTTAAAATCAAGGAAAACCTTTACAAAATCTGCTATACTGGACAAAAAGGACTAATTATGTATTAAGAACCCTATTATTCTAGAGCTATGCTGTCTATTACAGTAGCCACTAGCCACACACAGCTATTGAGCACTTAAAAAGCAGCTAGTACAAACTGAGGTAAGCTATAAGTGTAAAATATACACCAGATTTTGAAGACTTAACAGAAAAAAAAGTAAAATATCTCAATAATATTTTATATTGATGTTGATAATATTTTGGATATATTGGGTTAAATTAAAATTATTAAAGTTAGTTTCACCTGTTCCTTTTTCCATTTTTAATGTGGCCACTAGTAAATTTAAAATCATATTTTTATTGGACAGTGCTGTTCTAGAGGCAGCCTTTCAGACTACCTGAATTCTATCTTAGGGGAGTAAATTTCACGGTGGAGTTCCATCCATTAATCAGTGATTAAATAATTACTGTATGTCAAGCACTACTAAATGTTGTAAATACAAAGAAAAAAGATATGCCCCTATACTCAAAGAATTCATAATTCTATAAAGTAAAAAAGACACAAACAACCATAACAAAATGAGATATATGGTATACCAGTGCCCAATATAAAGTACCATGAAAGCAAAGAAAAGGAAGTAATCCATCATGACTGGAGATCTGAGCCAATGGAAGAAGTGATCTTGTATTAAGGCCTTCAAAGATGATGGAAGAATTCAAAGATGTCCAAAGAAGATGAGAGATATTAAAGTCAGAATATATAGGATAAACAAAGTCTTAAAGATGTGATAGAACATCACATCGCTGGAAAATGGCAAGTAGTTCTACATTATTTGAACATAAGAAACAGCTAAAGTCATAAGCTGTTTCTCTGGTAAAGAGGGGAACAAGAACATAGGTAAAGACTTAGATGTGAGTGAGAATGAGGTGCATTTCTGGGGATATAAATATGCAAATGGAGAGACAAGAAATGAGGCTGGGAAGATGAGCTGGGGCTAGACCACTCTGAAAGGTAAAGAGAAGAAAGCAGATCAGCCAGGGACCTTGGAACCCAAGAAACACCATGGTGGAGTTCCTGGGTTTTTTCCTAGTCATATATCCCAGATCTAAAGTTGAAAAAGCCAGCAACACAGAAACACCAATGAGCACAGGATGAAAAAAGCCCCCCAAAAATCTGCTCACTTTTGTCAAATTACCAGGAAAGGCACAGCCTAGCAAGATGGGAAACTTTTAGATAGTAACTGCTCTACTTCAGCCAAACACCACAGAAAAAACTGTGACCCCACTCCCACCCATGTCATTAAATGCCAAGAGGAACATAGATTTCCACCCTCACCAGTCTGTAACTATTTGCCCAAATCTACCCACAAGAGAAGTGGTAGAGAAGGCTGAGTAGGGGGCCAGAACTTTCATTCCCACCTGGTGGTAAGAACGAGAACCACCTCCTACCCTATTATGTCCAGTGGGGAGCCAGGACTTTCACACACATCTGGCAGTAATGAGGCTCTCTGTGCCCTCCCTGCTGACACGGCATCATAGGGAGCCTAGTGGAAAGTCAGGACTTTCACAATGCACAACAGGAATGACAAATGCCAACAGTGTCAACTGAGAAGCAGAAATGGCACACTCATACCCCTCTCAGCTAGGAATGTATCAGTAGAGTCCTAGTGGAGAGCCAGAATTCCAACCCCTACAGAGCAGTAATGAGGAGTCCCCCACCTTGTGTGTTTCACAGAAGCCAAGTACAGAACATCTATCCCAATCTGGCAGTAATGAGGCAGTGCTCCTGCCTTCCAGGGCTGGAGTGGGATCAGAGACACAAACTAAAAGAAAAGAGTCTCATAATATAATACCCAAAATGTCCTGGTTTTAATAAAAAAAAAATCACTTATTACTGGTAAGGTTAGCTCAGTTAGTTAGAACGCGGTGTCGACAATACCAAGGTCAAACATTCAGATCCCCCATACTGGCCAGCTACCAAAAAACAAGGCAAGGATGTCTGCTCTCACCACTCTTTTTCAACTTGGGGCTGGAAGTTCTACGCAGTGCAATAAGGCTAGAAAAGGAAATAAAAGACATAATTCAGATCCCCCATACTGGCCAGCTACCAAAAAACAAGGCAAGGATGTCTGCTCTCACCACTTTTTTTCAACTTGGGGCTGGAAGTTCTACGCAGTGCAATAAGGCTAGAAAAGGAAATAAAAGACATACAAATAAGAAAGGAAGAAAAAAAGTCTGTATTTGCCGATTACATGAATATCTGTAGATGCAGAAAAAGCACTTGACAAAATTCAATAACCATTTATGACAAAATAAAAATCTCAAGGACTCTACCAAAAATCCACAACTGCTATCACTAATAAGTAAGTTCAGCATGGTTGCAGGATACAAGATAAACATACAAAATCAATTGTGTTTTTATATACTAGCAATGAAAATATGGACACCAAAATTCAAAATACAATAACATTTACAGCCACTCAAAAGGAATTAATATACTTAGGTGTAAGTATAGTAAAATGGGACTTGTATGTTGAAAACCATAAAACACTGATGAAATTAATCAAAGGATATCTAAATAAGTAGAAAAACATAACATATTCATGGATTAGAAGACTTGGGGCCGGCCTGTGGCTCACTCGGGAGAGTGCGGTGCTGATAACACCAAGGCCACGGGTTCGGATCCCATATAGGGATGGGCCGGTTCGCTCACTGTCTGAGCGTGGTGCTGACAACACCAAGTCAAGGGTTAAGATCCCCTTACCAGTCATCTTTTTAAAAAAAAATAAAGAAGTCTCAACATTGACAAAAGATGCCAATTTTCCTCAAATTGATATACAGGTTTAATGTATTTCCTATAAAAATCAAAGTAAGATTTTTTTAATAGATATATTATAAAATTCACAGAAAGGTAAAAGAACTAGAATAGCTAAAAAAAATTTTGAAAAAGAACAAAGTGAGAGGAATCACTCTAACCAATGTCAAGAATGATTATATAACTACCATAATCAAGACTGTGTGGTACTGGAGAGGGGACAGGCACATAGATCAATGGAACAGAATAGAGGATCTTGAAATAAATCCATACAAATGCACCCAACTGATTTTTGACAAAAATACAAAAGCAATTGAAATGGAGAAAAAAATAGCTTTTCAACAAATGGGTGCTAGAACAATTAGACATCCACAGGTAAAACAATGAAACATACCTAAGTCTTCTACCTTATACAAAAATTAACTAAATATGAATCATAAACTTTCATGTACAATGTAAAGCTATAAACTTTTAGGAAAAAATAGAAGAAGACTAGCCAGTCAGCTCAGTTATTTAGAGTGCAGTGCTATAACACCAAGGTTAAGGGTTCAGATCCCCCTACTGGCCAGCTGCCAAAAAAAAGAAATAAACAGAAGAAAATCTTTGAGATATAAGGCTAGGCAAAGGGATCTTATACTTGATACAAAAAACATAATCCACAAGAGGAAAAACTGATAACTTGAACTTCACCAAAATTAAAAACTTCTGCTTTGCAAAAGATCTTTCTGGGAGGATGAAAAAGAAAGCCACAGAGTGGAAGAAAAGCAAACCACATATCTGACAAAGGACTAGTATCAAGAAAACATCAAGAACTCTCAAAAGTCAATAGGTTAAAAATAGCAATCCAATCAGAAAACTGGCAAAAGACATGAACAAACATTTCATCAAATAAGCCAATGTAAATATATGTTCAACATCATGAGCCATTAGGGAAATGCAAATTAAAATAACTTATCAGAATAACTCAAAAAATAGTAATAACACTGTAGTGGATTGAATTATGTAGCCCCAAAACTCCCTGAAACTTGAACTGTGTCCTCCAAGTT